AAAAAAAAAGGAAAAAATTAGCTATGTTTTTTTTTGTTAGTTATTTTTATGTTTATTCCGACTTTTTCTGTTAAAAATGATGAAACTAAGAAATGAACAAAAGTATTTTATTTTCTACACTATCATCTTATGCCTTAATATTATGTATCTTAGACTAGTTGAGTAAGTTCAAACATAGATTCTATACTTGACTTTTTTTTTTTTTGTTCTTTTTTTGAAGTTATAATTACTGCTGTTACATTGCACTACCGTGGATTCTTGATGTTCTCGGTTGATTTCAGATTAAGCTGATGGTATCAGCAGCAGAAGCAACAACAATGACAGTATAAACTAAACTGCACAGTAACGATACAGAGCACCTTTGGATTAATAGAATAAACGCACACACACACACACAGACACACATTCTGACACTCAGACACATACTCAGACACACACACACACACACACACACACACACAGATATTCGCAGACACACACTATAAATATGAATAAGAAGTGAAAATAGATGAACAAAAATGAAGAATAGAACTATTGGGATACTATTTTCTGAGTAATGTACTGCCAGAATATCGTTTTTTTCGACTGATACGACTGGAATATCGCGGTATACCGCTGTCAATACCCATTGATGAAAATTTGCTAATTTGCTTGGAAACATCTCTGCCCAACATTTCAATAAGACGTCGTCGAAAATGTTTACTGGACAAACAGAATAGTATAAAGTTTATCGCTTTACCAAAAATAACCAAAGTGCTGAAATAAGAAAAAGTAAAAAAAACCTTATTGCTATGAATACAGAGGCAAAAAAGAAAAGAAATTGATTTGATGAAATAATAAAAGTTGTTGAAAGATGAAGAAGAAAAATCGGCATAGGATATATTTTTTTGTCGTTGTTGTTGTTGCGTGTTTTGAATTGGTTTTTAGTTTTTTTTTTATTTTTATTTATTTTTTATTTTTTTGCAAATATATTACCATTATTGAGAAGAAACTGCTAATTCAG